CCCGTGGCGCCCCGCCCTCGCCCGACTGCTTGCGCCTCGCCGAGACGCCCCAAAACGTTTGGGTCAGGGGGCGCTGCCTCGCGACATGCCCTGCGCGCCCGTGGTCGAGGGCAGAAGAAAGCACAGTCGGCCCTGATTAGTAGGTCGGCCCCGCCAAATCAAGGGCGCCCGTGCATTCTCTGTTCCGCGGCCAATGTCATCTACATTCCCGTGGCAATGTGGCCCTCAGAAGGGTCTTGCGTCCTCTCGCGCGTTCCCTCCGAGCAAGTGCGACTGCGGGCCAGTGATGGGCGTTTGCCGTTGATGTGATAGGCTGCAGTCTGGGCGCGAGCGAAGCAGCGCTTCAGCCTCTCCCCCCCCCCCTGTCGCCAGTCTCCATCAGTGAAAGGGAGGAGTGTAACGCGGTGGATGCGAGTTATGGTGAGATTCTGATATTGGGGAGGGAAGGGCATTCGACGCCGACCATGAGGAGCGAGGAGGAGGCAGAGGCGGAGGAGGAGGAGGAGGAGGAGGAATAAGACAATGAGAACGAGGGGGCACTGCGATCTTCTGGAACAAAACCACGTAAAAAAATCACTCGGGCAGGAGCTTGGATTTCGCGCAGTGGTCGTCGATATCAAGGCCGATTGGCCCGAGATGAGCACGAGCATGGGCTTCCCGACTTGCGCCCGCAATGCTGCGCCGTGCATTTTTTGCAGTTGCCCCCAGTCAGAGTTGAGGGACCACGACCTTCGAAACCCGTTGCTGCCACACGGGCCGAATTGCTACGATACCGAATGCAGGAGCCATGAGAAGTGGGTTATCTTAGACTCTTCTGAGCTGCATCGGAAGGTGAGGTGGAGGTTAGTATTCAAGAAGAAGCACAAGGGGAGGGCACTATCACAGAATATCCCAGAGCTGGGCTTAAAACAAAACGATCGCCTCGTGGCCATACCTTCTATGTTGGACACCATGGACTTTGATAAGCTCAGCAATTTAGAGGAGTGCCCTGCCCTGATCTGTTTCTGGAGGCCAACGCAGGATGCTAAGGTGCACCATCGCAATCCATTGCTCGACGCGTCGCTGGGAATAGGCATTACATCATTCAGCATCGATGAGATGCACTGTGTCCACTTAGGCATCATGAAAGTATATATCGGCACTGTTTTCTGGAGGCTCTTGCTAGCGAACATTTTCGGTCTTAAGCTTTCTACTCAGGACGATCTTGTTTCGGTTGGCCTGCAGAACATTATGATTCTCTTGGCAGAGTGGTACCCCAAAGAGAGGGATCGGCGGGGGCTCCAAGAGTCCCAGGTTACCAGGGTGGGGAACATCACAGAAGGGATGATCGGTTCGAAAGCCAGCCCCTCGATAAGCACGAAGGCAGCAGAATCCAAATGGTTGTTCTTCTTTTCGGTTTGGTTGATGGAGGAGTTTGGCAATGAATGTGCAGACGTGGAGAGAGCAAACGTATTGCTTCAGGCTGGCTTTGCTCTGGTGAAGTGGTGTGACTTGCTGGAGAAGCAGCCCCGTAAAGTGCCAGCCGATGTGTGCGATGACTTGGAAGCGTTTGCGGCAATGCATTGTAACCTCGCGGGCCTCGGAGGCGTTCCAATCCTACCGAAACACCATTCGTTTCGACATCTCACCGAAATGATACGGGTAAAAGGTTCACCTCACTACTACCACACGTACATTGATGAGGGAATGAATGGCGTGGTCGCGTCCATAGCTGCCTCGACGCACAGGGCGCGGTTCGAAAGAATGGTGTTTCGAAAGTGGGGGTACCTTGCGAGAGGCCCGCGGGATCAGAATAGGGAATGGGGGGGGGGGGGGAGGGCGGCAAACGGCAGGCGCGAGGGGGGGGGGCAACCTGAGCAGGAGGGGTGAAACAATGGACAATTGCAAGTTTCTGGGGAGAGCACGCCCCCGAGAATGCCACCCCAATCATCAGTAACGCTGTAGAGCAACACGAAACAATAGTAGCCCATGTTTTTGGGATCGAGACCCCCATCGACCAGCACGCAGTAGTTCGAGCTCCCACTTTGGAGTGGCCTGGCCAACGATGGAGGCAGCTGCGTCGCGCAAGAGCCCGCGACAGGCCAGCGCGGGCCAGACCTTGATAAGCCCCTTCCCAGCCCCGCCCCATGCATGACCCCTGTTCTCCACCTACTGGGATCGAAACCGACGTTGCACCTCTCTCTCCTTCTCCCCATTGTCCTTCAACTGCGCCGCCCTGCATGCACCCCCGCCCCCTGGCCCAGCAACGCCCCTCCCTGTGCCGCGCGCCACCCCCCGCCTCCCGCCCCCAGAGTTCGGCCCCACTGGATGTTCTTAGTCGAAGCAGTTGAAGCCCCACCTCGGGGCCATTTGAGCGCTCGAGTGTCGCAGCTCACCCCCTGCAGGCCCCAAAGCAGTCAAAGGCCGTTCGTCAGCTTTTTGACCCTGCCGCACGCGCTCGCGGCAGCTATGCGCAAGGTGGGAGAGGGCAGTGCTCCTCCCTCAGCAATCCTCTCTGCCGCGGGTGTTGTTGACGTCGCTCAGTTCATCGTGGTTCGTCGGCCGATTGCTAGATTTGTTGCAACGCGCGCTCGGGTGCGCATTGACTCGCTGGGTGCTCCCATTCTTGTCCGCGGCCAGGGCAGCGCGCGTAGTAAGGACAAACTGCGTTTTCAAGGGTGCCCTTGGGCCCTTGCCTGCCTCAGCCTCTGCGGCCCGCCCCTAGCAATTTTCGCAAGCCAGTTTCTCAGGTTCCCTGGGGGTGGCCGCCTGCCGCCCAGAATGCTTCAACTTCTGCCTCCAAGGGTCTTGCGCCCTTACCACGCGCCCTTACTAGAAGTTTGCCGTGGCGGGCTTGTTTTCCACAGCCACCACCATGCATTGGACGGGTGAAGGAGGTGTAGGCTGAGGGGGAAGAGGAAGAGAGTGGCCCCATTCCCCCTCCTACTTATGGTGATGGCGGTGGAAACGAAGCTCACACATCCATCACCCCCCTCTCTGCAATCCTTGTGTCTTGCGGGACTGCGTTGATACCTGTGCGGTTCTGCTGGTTCAGAATGCTTTTTTTTGCGGCAGTGGGGAGGTGGCAACCTCGGGGCCCCTGACGAGATCAAGGGCTATGCGGTTCTAATTAGAGAGTGCAGCGGGGGGGACATGACGCCGCTGCAGCAGCTGGAGGCGGTGACGGACTTCGTCAACAGCCACATGAATTCTGTATCTAGAGATTTGGACGCTTTTGAAGTGTTCTCCTAAGTGTGCCCGATCGCACAGCAAGGAAGTGGGGTGGATGATGGAGGAAACTGCAGGTAGAGTGGGATGACGTGGGCGGGCGGCGCCACATGGGGGGCATTTCTTCGAGCATCGTTCTCCCAGCCGCCTGGCCTCACCTCTGTGCAAGCGGCAAAGTGGTCGCATCATTCTGAGTATGTTCTCACGTTGGTGGCTCGACGTCGAACGCCCGCTGGCCGCCTTTGGCGAACGGTTGCATGTTTGGCAAGCACGTTTGTGATTGAGGAAGCATTGGTAGGAATGTGATCCGACGCGATCGATCCGACATGCGAGCTACGTGCCATCGAATTGATATTTTTTTTTTTTTTTTTTAAAAAAAAAAAAAAAAAAAAAAAAAAAAAAAAAAAAAAAAAAAAAAAACGAGCTTAAACTAAGGTTTGCTCAGGGTGTGGTCTGCAATCCAAAGTATTTCGGGAGGCAGGCGAGACCACCATGGAATTCGACAAGCACACCCGCCACATCGAGGAGGATCTTACCAGCCTCGAGGGCCAACTGCATGCTAGTTTCACAGTGCTGCGCCTGAAGGAAGGCGGTCTACTTACTATTGCGGTGGTCAGCCGCTGGGGGCGCAGTCGGGAGCGATTTGTCAGCGGGATATTGGAGTGGGCTGACGTTGTCCAAGCAAGCGGGGTGAGCAGAGAGGAGGAAGTTGTTTCTGTTGGTTGGTACGTCCTCCTTCTCCTCCTCTGCCCTGCCCTTCCTCATCCCCATCCTCCTCCTCCCCCTCCTCCTCCTCCTCCTCCCCCTCGTCCTCATCCCCCCGCATCCTCCTCCAACACGCCCCTCCACCTCGACCTTTTCCCCCTCCTCGCCGCGCAACTCTTCCGCGCCCATCTGGCATCCCAGTCGCCCCGCCGACCCCCCGCAGTTGGAGTGCCGCAGCTGGCTTCGCTTGATCAACGCCACGGGGCACAAGTGGGACGTGCGCAATATTTTCGGCGATGAGGAGCGATGGGGCAGAGCATGCGAGCAACGCAGCAGAGGGTGCGCCCAGACGACGGCGCGCGCCAGGTAGGATGAGGGGAAGGAGGCGGGACGGAATCACGGCAGGGGTGGAAGATAAAATGATAACCGTTGAACAAACATCAGAGAAGGAGCAGGGGTGGAAAAGGACAGGGAGGATGATGGGCACAACGCACAGGGAACCATGGACGGCGCGCAGCACTGATGATTGCAAGCCGCTGCGTAGCAATTGGGGGTGCGTTCGATTCGGGGCCCGATTAAGGTATGACTAGCAAGGCAGACATGATAAACGGGACGGGCGCGTCATCGGCGAGCAAGGGATGGAAAATGGCGGTGCTGGTGAAGATGGTGATGGTGGTGGTGGTGGTGGAGATGATGATGGTGATGACGATGTCAACGATGATGGCGGTGATGATGATGCTGCTGCTGATGATGGTGGTGATGAATATGATGATGATAGTGATGGTGATGATGATGATGCCGATACCGATGGTGATGCCACTGGTGATGATTGTCATGGCGAAGGTGTTGGTGGTGATGATGATGCTGAGGATGATGATGGTGGTGATGGTGGTGGTGGTGGCGGTGGTGCTGATGATGGTGTTGAAGACGTTGGTGTTGCTACTGATGATGCTAGTGGCATTCGTGGCCATGGTGGTGATGGTGATGCTGCGCATGCTGGTCATGATGATGGCGATGCGGAGGGCGACGGGCTAACGCATGGCACATGTCATTAACTGTAAGAGTGGGCGGCTGAGGATTGCCCGAAGGTCGCGTCCGGGAACGTCCAGCTCCAGTTTGCTGCTTATCTTGCGACTCTGGCGCACGTGAGGCGCGCATGGGTATTGATGGAGAAACCGCTTCAGAGCAGGATGGACGAACACCCGACCATGCAGACTGTGATGGCGCTGCTGGGTGCGTCTGCGATTCTCACATACATGGGCGCGTTCCAGCCCAGGCCGCTCATCCCGAAAGCGTGCAACCTCATCACTACTTTACCTTCCACTGTTCACAACATGCTGGCGGAGAAACGCCCGATGTGCAGCTCCAAGAAGTCGGACAGGGATCGGTTCCACGCGGAGATTCGAGGGTGGGTCGTCGGCGGCAAGGACAGGCGTCGTTTCTCTTGCGGGGCAGGGATGAAGAGAGAGGAACGGGGGGGCAGAGGGGTGCCCACCCGCACCCCCGACCTACCTCCGCCATCGTTCCCATTCCCACCTTGGAACCATTCCTGGGAGACAGAGAGAGGGGGGAGCAGAGGGCGCGGAGAAACGATGCCGAAGAGAGCGAGACGGAGGAAGGGGGAGACGAGGAGAACGAGACGGAGGAGCCAGGAGAAATTGCAGTGGGGCGTTCAAGGGCAGTGCGGCAAGCACAACATAGGGGAAGCGTCGGGTCTGGTGACGACACCATGGGGAGGAGGGGGTCACTCTGACCCCCTAGCATCGCGAGGCGATGATGTAGGCAGCACTCGGATCCAGCACGTGCGCGCCAGTATCTGCGCGCGTGCGCGCGCAGAACGCAAATTGCGATTTGTTATGCGATCCTCGGGGTTCTGGTCACACTACTGCTCGGCCCCCTACCCCACTGCGCAAGAGCCCATCATCTCCCCCCCCGCCTCTCTTCGTGGAGGAGCTGAGTTCCACAGAGCATTATCCGAGGGGATACTGCGAGACCCTGTGGAACGCGTGGAAGACCGCGCAGCAGAAGGCTATATTCATGGACAGAATTAACTTTTTGATGAGCGATGGCCAGATCATGAGGAAGAGGTCGAGGATGGCAGCACTCTTGGAGAAGGACGCAGCTGCCGAGAAGCTTGCGAGGAGGAGGATGAGGGCCAAGAAAAGGGCAGCGTCATCCAACAACCGCACGCTCCACGAATACGGCAAGGCAGTTCTCCGCTCCATTTGGAAGCCCCCTAGATGGAGCCCGATCGAATAGATGGGGTCGAAGGACAGCGCCGCGTCGCCAATATGCATTGCATATGCATCGGCGATGCATAGGCGACGTCGGCGATGCATCGGCGGCGCTGGCGCGGGGAATCACGGACTCGCATCGAGCCGCATCGTTAGTGCATCGGCGATGCGGCGCGATCCTCCGACCCCATCTACTCGGGCCCCATCTAGGAAGCCTAAAATAATTGTCGTTTCAGTGCTCGCCCTCGCCAAGAACAACGCCCGCAATCGCATTATTGCCATGTTCCCCCGCTGCCTGCTCACCAGAGCCCCTCGCCCAACAGCCCCTCCCACCCGCAAATCACCTTCGCCCGTCCCTTCCCCGCCACCATGTTTACAACGCGTATCCCATCAATGTGTTTATCTTCCCCTTTTTTGTCCTGTCTGAGTCTGGCGTCCACATGATCGTTGAGGAGGGGGGCAATTCTAACGGCATGTGTCTTCCCCATGTCAGCTTTTACCGCATCCCCCCTATATGAGCGTCATCGCACTTCCTCCTTGCCTACACCGTCTGCCTCGCGCACTCCTCAGTCGACATTCGTTCCATTGGAGCTCATCGCAGTTCATTGGAGATCATTGCAATTCATCGCGAAGATCATCGCGCGCGATCGCACCTTCACTGTGACCGCCCCCATGCCTCTTCTCCTAGTGTTCGGTTGCACCTTCTCTGGGTTGTTTGGAAGCCCCTCCTTCGCAGACCCGTGCGCTTGACCAGGCTGAGGAAAAGCATGAGGATCTGTGATCAAGGCTGGGGAAAAGCATGAGGATCCGCGATCCAGGCTGAGGAAGAAAGCATGAGGAGATGCGATGGCTGCGCTGCGTCGGAGAGGGCTCGGGCCCGCCGAACTGGGCCAGAAAACAAACGACCCACCCCCACCCCCCTCCGCGTTACAGGCGTTAATTAACGTCCCAGGCGCATAAAGGCTAAGTCCCTTGAGGGACTTAGCCTATACCAGGATATATGGCGCGAGTGTTTGCGTGGTATTCGCTACGGGGGGAGGCCGTGCGCGGGGTGGTGTCGTTTGTTTTTGTCTACGAGTGCCCCCTCTCCCCCCGTTCACCCTCCCACAACATATTGACCTAGCCAATCTCCCAGCCCTCCGAAGCTCCTTGCTGCTCTCGGGCAAGAGCCCGTTCCAGCGACCGTTCCCGTGCCCGCCGCGCGCCCTCGAGGTGCGTTGCCCAAGTCTCGGTCTAAACGGTGGTGTGGCGATTTCGCGGCAATTTCCGTTTCGATTTCGTTTTGAAACAAGGGTGTGGTGGTGGTGTGTGTGTGTGTGTGTGTGTGTGTGTGTGCGCGTGTGTGTGTGTGTGTGTGTGTGTGTGTGTGTGTGTGTGTGTGTGTGTGTGTGTGTGTGTGTGTGTGTGTGTGTGTGTGTGTGTGTTGTTGTGTGTGTTGTTGTGTGTGTTGTTGTGTGTGTTGTTGTGTGTGTTGTTGTGTGTGTGTGTTGTTGTGTGTGTGTGTTGTTGTGTGTGTTGTTGTGTGTGTTGTTGAGGTGTGTGGGGTGGGGAGGGGGGGGGGGGGGGGGGGGGGGTGGGGGGGGGTGGTGGGTGGGGGGGGGGGGGCGGGAGGAGGCGGGGCGGGGGGGCGGGGGAAGGGGGGGGAGTGGGGGGGGGGGGGGGGGGAGGGCGGGGGGGGGGGGGGGGGGGGGGGGGAGGGGGAAGGGGGGGGGGGGGGGGGGGGGGGGGGGGTAGGCGATCTCAGTGAAGACAACGAATGCACGGCGTAATTCGGAGACAAGTTTAGGCCAAAGCCTTAGTCACTGCCGACGCTGGCTGGTAAGCCCTGCCTACGTGCCGACTGGGGAAAGCATTCGGTGGATTACAGTCGAAACTTTGAGAGAAGGCCCTCTTTGGAATCGGAAGGGGCTCGATGTTCCTTAGGTTCCTCCAGTGCTGTTCCTCTTGCCCTCCTGGGGCATGGAGGCGCTTGCAGGGCCAAGAAGGGGCGTCGTTCCTTAGTTAGCGTCCCTCCTGTCAGCGGCCCGACTGTAGAACTGCTCGCTGGGGCAGTCGGCCCCTCCGAACGCTCGCGGCTGTAGCATGACGTGAGCCTGCTCTTTTTAGCATCGCACTCCTCCTTCTGTTCCTCCCCCTCCTCCTGCGCCGCCCCCCCCCCTCATTATACCATTGTGCTGCGCTCGATCACCGTGGCCAGCACGAGGTTGATGATGATGGCGACGATGAGGAGGAGGAAGAGGAGGAGAGGAGAGAGGAGGAGAAGGGGGAGGCGGATGGAAGGGGGGGGGGCGAGGGGGAGGGGGAAGCGGAGAGGGGGGAGGAGGAAGAGGAGGAGAAGTAAAGGATGAGCAGGCAGTCGCGAACGAGGAAGGCGAAGGGGGGGGAGGGGGGGGAAGGGGCGAGGCAATCGGACGGGGAAGGAGAAAGCCAATGAGGAGGAGGAGGAGGAGGAGGAGGAGGAGGAGGAGGAGGAGGAGTCGAAGGAATATGTTTATTTCCAGAACGAGTACGGTGCTTCCGGCTTTCAACCAAAGGCGTGTTGTGGGTTGTTGCGGTGGGAGATTCAGGATATCCGTGCATTTGGGGTGGGGCGTTGGGGGCGCCCCAGCATCAGCACCAGCGTCGGCACCAGCGCCAGCATCAGCTTCATCACGATGATGATGGTAATCAACATCATCATCAGCATCAGCATCATCAGCATCATCATCACCATCGTCATCATCAGCAGCTTCACCATCATCATCAGCAGCACCCCACCATCGTCGTTCATCAGCATCTTCATTCATAATTTAATCATCATCATCATTCATCATCATCGCACCCTCCCTCCTCACTTCATCTTCCTTCCTCCTCTTTCTTCCCTCTTTCTACTCTCATTTTCCTCCTCCTCCTCCGTCTCCTCTTCCGTCCTCCTTCTCATCCTCTCCTCACCCGCTCTCCCATGCCTCCTCTCCCCCCGTTCCTCCTCCTCCTTCCTTCCCCTCCTCCTCCTGGTTTTATCCTACTTTTACTCCTCCTGTCTATCCTCGTCCTCCTTCCTCGTCCTCTCCTCTGGGAGAATGAGCCCTCGGACCCTGCCGACTTCTTCCTCCTGCTTTATACCAATTGGATTGGCATTTTTGGCCAACGCTGGTGGTGAAGCACCCCAGGCTGCGTGGGATTGAGGGGGCAGCCCGTATGTAACCAGCCCGCCTGCTGCTTTTCCTCCTCCTCCGCCCCTCCCCCCCCTCCCCATCCCTGTCCCCGTCATCGCCCTCCCCCCCCCCCATGTTTTGTCGCGGCCAGCGTGGCCGCGTGGCCTGGGCATGGGCGCTCGAGCCCAGCATTTGCATGCAGGCGGATTCGCGCAACTGACTTCGCTGCGCTGCCGATTTGAAAAACGGACAGGTATCCGACCAGCCATAACTGGGGGAGCTGTGGTCCTTATACGCCCCCGTGGACGAACCCATCGCATCGACGATCTCTCGAGAGGGGTGTCGAAATCGATGGGCCCCCCCCCAGGGCGTAAACACCGCAGCACCCCCAGTTGTGGCTGGCCTGGGTATGGTGCTCTGATATACATGTATATATACACATGCATGTGTATATATATACACACAACTAACTATTACACATTACTGTCGCCGTTTGTCTATGCAAACATATATATATATATACACATACATATACATGTTGAACTATGAGTCTACATATGTGCATATGTATATGCGTATGTATATAATACATAACGCATCTATATCTAAATACATGTATGTATATATATACATACATATTTATATATATATATATGTATATATATATATTATCAAATAAGATGGCTCCGGGATGCGATGATGGTTCCGGAGCTTTCGCTGCTGCCCAAAATGTTCCGGTTCGGAAGTTTGCTCGGGAACCAATCTCCGGTTCCGAAGGACCTCTGGGGCTGTGGTAGATCACCCGCGCGCCTGGCAGCAGGTCGATCTGGCGGGCCCTCGGGCCCGGCCCCCTCCTGCTCTTCCCCTCCCGGGCGGGTTCGGGTCTCTCCGAAGGCCTCGGCTTCGGGTTCCCGCCTTTGGGCGGGGGGGCGGGGCGTCCTGGGCGGCCATCCCCTAGGGCCGCTTCCCAGCCTTCCGCTGGCTCCTCGGTCAGGCGCGCCCTTGCCGGGCCTCCTCCCTCTTGAGGGGGGCCGTCCGTGCTGG